TTCAAAAAAGAAAAAATGTGTTTAAATCCTGTTTAATATCTTCCCCGGCGGCCTGTTCGGCGGTCGGCCCCTGGGAAGCTTGGCGGCCGGTCCACCCAGAGTGTCTCTCGCGACACCCGGCGTTTGGGATCTTTTTTACCGCAAAACAAAGGTGCATATTATGATCATTAGTTGCCCCGTCTGGGGCGCGCATCCCCATCAAGCCGCCGGCAATTCGCGGCGGGGGGAGCATCTCGGGCGTGCGCTGCACTCGTGGGCCCGGTGCGCGGCTTGTCTTTCCCCCTTCGCAAGCCGCTGAGCGCGCGCGAGAAGCGCCTCGTAATCCCCGCCGCTCGTTAGAAGAGCTCGCGTCTCCCTTCTAGTTGCCCCAGCGGAACCAGCTATCGTGGGTCTGCTGGGTTTTTTAAACCTCCACAGGAACCCCGTGTGACCCCCACTCACCCTGCCCAGGTTGGCCCCCCCCCAACGCCCCCCCTACACACACAGCCCCCGAAACCAGAGCAGTTTTTATCCGTTACTGTGGCGGGACGTCCACGTGTGCCCGCGCATTGTTTGCCCCCCCCCCCAGGCAACTGTGAGCAACCACAAAGGGCTCAGAACACTTTACCGTCACTCCTCTGCTAGCGCGACATCGCGCCGCACTGACCCGCCAAAAATCACCCGCCGCCCAAACTGCTGCGGCCACCCAAGTATTTAACAACCGTCATTGTCATCGCCAACAAGCCTGTGTGGAGGAATTAAGGCTTCCAGTTTAAAAACAACACTTGTCAGCATTATTTTTTTTTTTTCATTTCTCCCGAAATCCTAGTTTACAAACTGGCTTTGACCAGAGTGAAACGCCATTGAGTTGCATTATGGGAAGTGTAGAATTCCAGCTCAAGATCTCATTCTTGATAAAAACATGTTTTAACTGTGCTCACACTTTCACCCACTAACTAACTCATTCTGCTGTTTTCCTCCAGTGAGTTCATGCGATCGCTAATCACCGACATGGACTTCCGCTCGTTAGAAGTGAGGCTCTTCAAAGCGAAGGTAACATAAAGGTTCGGTTTGCATTTCCCCAAATTCTCTTAAGCGTCCGCTGGCTAGTGGTTCCCCGTGCTCTTGAATTTGCATTCACAAGGTGCACTTGGCTCCACGCAACCTCAGATTAACTCTCACATGAGTCACATTCATGCCACAAACTCCGTCTCCACCCCTCTTTCATGGCTCCGCGGGTATAATTATAATGAAATAAATACTGGTAAACACTTTGAAGAGCAATTCCAAAGCATGCTTTGTAAAGCCAGCTTCTCTCTTTTTTTTCCTTCTCTTTTTTTTAAATGAAAGACACTCAGCCCGCATGCATAGAAATGAGGGAAGCCGGCCGGAGGAAGAAAGAGAGGGGTCCTTTTCCCTTTTCATAGATTAGCAAAGCCCTAATCTCATTAAAGTGCCCAGCAGCGAACATGCCGTCCGCTCCGCCCAGCCCTGTAATCAGCCTGAGACACACGGCTCATCTCGGATGGACCGGACCGGCCCACCAGCTGGCCCGCCCGCGACCAGGCCCGGCGGCCCCCATTCACACGAGGAAGTGCTGAGCAACTGAAAGGCAGGGGGAACATGAGAACGGGCTGATTTCCAGAGGGATTATTCACCCTACCACCGCAATTATCACCTTCACTGCATTAACTGTGCAAACAGGTGCACTCGGACGGGACCAGAAACGGGTAATCTGAGGCTGAGAATTGCACACGATATCGTGTTTGCACCCGCACGCTGCTCGGGGGGAGGGGGGAGTGGGGGTTCACAGCCAGTTTGCCTTGTTTTTTTGCACCTTTTATGTATGACAAATATTATTGTCATCACTATGCAGCAACTGTTCCTGTTCCTCATGGAGGAGCAGCAAGGAGACGCCGGAGCCCAGCGGGGCTCCATCAGCGCGGAGCAGCTCCTTCTGGAGCTGAAGGCCGGGGGCATCCACCTGGAGCAGGAGGCGGCCGTGCGGCTGGAGCTGCAGCGCATCCCCCCCCTGGACCTGCTGGACTTCCTGGCCTACCTGCCGCTCTTCATGCTCATTCACAAGTCGGTCATCGCCAACCCTCTCAATGACTCCGGCGACCTCTGACCTCGGCCCTTGGCACCTGGCGAAGCAGCGTCACTGCCGTTAAATCCACCAACACGCAGGAACCCTTCATTTAATTTGTTTTGTTTTTACATTACTAGTAAAGATAAGTCTGGTTATTAGCTATTTAGTTAGCCTGGAATGCTAACGTGCAGTTAGCTGCTAACTGCCAGCTCAGCACGTTGAGCGTTATGAAACTTTTGCAACTTCTTTTCACAACCACTTGATGTTTGTCTCATTGATTAATATATTGTTCTGTGGTTCCTGTTAACGTTTCATGGAGCTGTGAAGTGCTGTCTATGGTCCTGAAATGTTTCCGTAGATGTTGCAGCCGTTTGAAAAAGCTTTAAACGCATCAAAAAGTTGCATTAAATAAAAGCACCTCCAAACGGGGCGGGGCTCTCTTCTTTGGGGGGCGGGGCTCTCCTCTTCAGGGGGCGGGACTCACCTTAAAACGTTCAGATGCATCTGGGTGTTCTGGAGAAAACAACATGTGAAACGCTGCGACTGCCGTGGTCTTCTATCCAACTTAATCAACACTGATGAATGAAACTCAATGAGATATTCAACCAATGAACTTTGAGCCATTGTTTTGCCTCAGCTTTGCCAATTAGATAAGGCCCGTGTTCTCCTGAGGCTCATGCACGCTCCACAGGCCGCCACAGAGGAGAAGGTAATGGACTGTGACAGGGCAACAGACCCGGACTGCTAAAATCCCAACAAACTAGAGAAAGAATTTATTCTAAATATTCTAATCAAGTATGGATCACAAAACACTGAACTTAAAGGAGTCTTTATGTTTTCATTTTAGTAACTAAAAACATTTATTTAAGCACACTGATTGGGAGGAAGACATTCTCCAAATACAATCTCTCTCTGGATTCCTCCTGTCTTGTCCTTCAAAAAAATGATTCCACAAAGTTTGATACAAATCTACTTTGTTATATTTAACAACAGAACAGAAGGAATCCAGTATATAATATAAATGACATACTAAAAGTCTGTGGTTGTGTATTTGGGCATAGACGTTGTTGTTCGCAATCGTTTTACCTCTTCTTTTATTGGACATTATTTGGCAAGTTGTCTTTTATTTGTTTATCCAAATCAAATTTAGGAATAAAAAATGCTGACGAGACACGTTTTGTAGTTGAAGTTGTTACATGTTTTATATTCACATTTAGAAGTGAAGTCTTACATTTTGAGTTTTTCATAATTCTGTTTCAAATGAAAAATAAACTTTTGTCTCTTCTGGAGGTGGGATCTTGTTCCTTTTTAATAAAAGAGTGGGCTGTTTTTTTTTAAATTGATTTTGATACCAGTTTTTTTTAAATAGAAGACATGTTGACGCCTAAAGGTCATCAAAAACATTTCTCAAAAAGTAAAAAACATGTTGTTGGTTAAACATATTCCTCAGAATACACATGTGTCAGAAACTATTTTTTTCGACCTTTTTGAGGGTCCCTCTCGTTTCCGCTCGGGGGCCCCTGGTGGTCCATGAACCCACTATTGAGCACAAATGATGGAGCGCACGCGCATCCTGCACAATGACCACATCCCACCCATTCTATTATGTGCATTGGTTTCTCTTTTTTTTGTTAAGAGTCTACTGTCGAAAATATACCAAAAATAACTTTATGTAATACGACTTCTGTCCCCCCCCCCCCCCCCCCCCCTCCCCACACACACACACCCTCCTTCCCAGGTGGTGGTGGTTGTGTGTTCAGCGGCACGCCGCTCTCAGGAGACACACGCCGTCAGCTCATTGAGCTCCGTGTCTCCACTCGACCACCACGCGCTCCCCATTCACTCATTAAAGCGGGCGCGTGTCCGCGCGCTACCTGTCACCGCAAAGTCCGACGGCGACGCGACGTGCTGCTCCTTCACAAGGAGGAAATGAGTTTATCTTTTCTCAAAGTTTACCGACAAGTTTTGATTAAAAAAAAAATTCTCGTTCTAAGTCTCATTATCTACAGAACGCCTGCGTTGCGAGTTTACTTTATTATTATTTGGTTTTATTATTTTGATGGTGTTTGTTAACTTGACATCCATTTGATTTCCTCTTGCAGAATATGTGACACATACAGATGTGGCTTCACGTTTAAAGTTTGTGATGCCAGATTTACTTTTTGTTTGCTGTCCCATTTTAAAGAATGAATCAAGGAGACTGACATTGAGGGTTAGAGGAGGGACATTTGTCTAAAAGGACCAATTATATCGTGGATTTCGAGAAAAAATACATCGTAAAGTCCTTTCTATTGCTCCATAATTCCCTCTTACTTTCGCCTCCAATTAAACCACATAAGTTGGAACCAAAGATGCTCCCACTCCTTTGAATGCGCCCCCAAAAAACACAAGACAGAAAAGAATTCAGTAGCAAATGGTTTTATTCTTGGACTGTAGAAAATATGGTTATAAGACTTATTCTTTTTCCAACATTTGTTAATGTGAAGACAATATAGAGCTGGCAGTATAAAGAGACAATGAATGCGGTCTGTTTGGACAATAGCTGCATACGTTTTGATCTTTGTGAACTTCATGACATAACGCAATAACATGGTTTTGCTATTAAATAAGACACGTCGGTGCGATAGAATAAAACGTCGGAGCGTTAAACTCCTTCTGGGAACCTCGTGAACAGAAGAGCCAGAATAATAGACTACACGTCTCCACAGGCCGGAGGCATAGAAGCAACTTCGCAATATATAGACAAAATATATACAAAAATGATGTGTACAAAACATCTATAAATCTCTTACATACAAAAATAGCTTAATATATTTCAAAAAAAGCGTTTGATATACAATTTTATAGAATAAATCCGTGACTTGGAAGCATGTTTCTGGGAGGTTTTACCGAAGGGTCCGTGTTCTGTGATTGGGTTTAGCATAGTTGAGGAGATGTTTTAATGGTTGATGCTGGAGACTTTAGGGTCGTTGTGTGTGTGTGTCGGATTCCCACGCTGTCAGGAGAGCCGTCTTCCTTTAATTCCTCCGGCGCTGATCTCCGGCCCGATCCACCCGCGAGTCCTCGGGGGACTTTGAGGCCGTCACTGTCGTTCCGTCGGTCCGGGCGCACCGGGCGTAAAAGGACAATTGCGTCTTGTTCCTGCGTGCGGACACTCGGCCTCCTCCGGGACAAACCCAAGCGCACTCCAACGGGAAAGCGAGTCCATCTGCGAGTCTGCGAGCGGAAGAGGAGGAAGAGAAAAGCGGTTAGCCGCCGATCGGGAGGCGCGTCGCGAACGCTCGTCGGTGACGCTCGTCTGACTTCATCCGTTCTTACCGTTTTACACAGACGCTCAGAACCAGTTGGTGAAGTCCAGCAGCTCCTGCTCCTCCGGGCTGAGGGGGTCGTACGAGCCCTCGTCGGATGAGTACGAGGACACCGGCGAGCCCGCCATGGAGTTCATGTCCCCGGTGTATCCCTGCGACATGGCGGGCGACAGGACGCCGGACTGAAAGGCCGCGCTCACGGCGTCGTGCTCGTCCAGCAGCTGCTGCAGCGCGCGGATGTACTCCACGGCCGAGCGCAGCGTCTCCACTTTGCTCATCTTCTTGTTGGCGGCGCCGTTGGGCACGTGCTCCCGCAGGGTGGCGAAGCCGTTGTTGACCAGCTTCACCCGGTTGCGCTCCCTCTCGTTCCGGCGGGCCACGGCGTGCGGCTGCTGCGGCGGGAGGCTGTAGCCGAAACCCGCGAAGTTGAGCCTCCGCTTGCACCGCAGCAGCTCCGGGGAGGACGAGCGCTGCCGCTTCGGCTGCTTGGAGCACGACTTCCCGCTGCTCTGGCTGCTGCCGCTCGGGCTCAGCGGGACGCTCTGCGCCGCCACGGAGGAGAAGAAGCAGGCGGGCGGCAGCAGCTGCTGATGCTGGCTGACGTTAATCTCCATCTTGGCTGTGAAGTCCATTCCCAGAGGTCGAAACTTAAAAGAAAAAAAACTAAACTTGTGAGGAATCGCCGAGTGTCGGAGCGGTGCGTCCCGCTCGTGCCGTTCACGTGTTGACGCGCGCGTGTTTTGGTGGGGGGCAGTCCGCTGCTTCTCTGAGTCCTCGAGGACAGACGCCACCGCTTTTCAATGCGTGCGGGTGGTGGGACAAGCCACGCCCCCCGGTCGCGTGGATTCACCTTGGGCTCCTGCCCCGGTGCCGGTGCGTTTGCGCGCGCGCCGGACGCGTGCCACTGGAAGCGCTAAAAAAAAAAAAAAAGCAAACAGTCAGTGGGGAGTTTTTTTCTTTTTCTTTCTCTGTTCTATCCATCGCGGGGGGGGGGTCAGATGGGGGGAGCGGCAGAGCGCAGAGGAAAGCTTTCCACACCGAGACGCACCCACGTAGAGATGTTCGCAAACCGCATGTTGTTTCATTTATTGGGTTTATTTAACATGTTTTGCCAATATTGTAAATATCAGATGTGACCAAAGGCCCTCGCGTTAGATCATTTAACACATTCTAACTTTGTCTGATTTTGTAAAGTTAAGACGAACGGAAGGTCCAAGATGTCCCAAGAAGAAAAAAACGTTTCTAAAGTGTCACACCAACAAGTGACATCACAACTGTCACGCTCGCGTTGCTCTTGAAATAGAGTCGATGGCTTTTGTGTTTTTGAAGAAGGGTTGTTTGTGTTTGCTTGCAAAGATCTGTAAAGATCTGTAAAGATCTTTGCAAGAAAACGAATAACAGAGAAGCGCGTGTTGCTCTTTAACCTTTAGATGTTCCTGCAGAGCCAAACGGTGGTGCTGAAAGACAGCGCCTGTGGGAGCCGTGCGCGTGCGTCGGTGGCTTCGACTCCAACCCGGTGGTTTTGTCGGCGTCACGGACGCGTCTGAACGCCGCTCATTTCAGGGCCCATTGTGCGTCAAATGTTCCACTTTGATTAAGGCAGATCATCAGCCGCGCACAGGCGGAACGGAGAAGCGCAAATCGGCCGAGGGCCCCTCAGAAGCCGTTCGGAGGAGGCTTTGTGTCCGATTTGATACACGGCAGCGTGGACGCGCACCGTTCTCTCCATTGGAGTTGAACTATAAAACAGTGCATGACGCACTTCTGTATGCATGTGGCTACAGGCGTGTGTTTGTGCGCGTGTGCGTGCGTGTCTGTTTGTTTTAGTTCGTGAGTACGTTTCCATGTTGCGCACGACGTCCCTCTCTAACTGCGCTGGTGTTGTTCGTGTGTAGAAGTCACGTCTTTGGGGTAGAAAAAAAGAAAAAAGCTTGCATTGAGGACCCCCCCCCCCACACACACACACACACACACAGACACACACACACACACACACACCACCGCAACCACCAATACTTTCTTTTCTTTCCCTCCCCCTTGTTCTCTCTGTCTCTCCCTCTCGCCCTTTTTTTTCGCCCAGCAAGAGAGTTTAGAAAAGAAGCGTGGGTTCCATTCAGCCTCCCCCAGCACCCCTCCACTCCTGCCCGGCTTTCTGAAACCTATCCATGCCCTGTCAGTGTGCTTCCAGAGTCCAATTAGCGCTTTGTGAGGACTCTCTCTCTCTCTCTCTCTCCCCTCCCTCCCTCACCCTCCCTCCCGCGCTGCTGGTCTTCCAGAGGCTGGGAGGGCGCTACTTCTTTTTCTCTCGAGGGGCTTTCCAGTCACAGCCGAGTGTAATAATTAATATGACATCTGGGCGCCGGAGTTCTCCTTTAACCACTTTCTGTATTTCGCTCTGTTCTTTGTGCGGTTTGTGCTTTGTGGAGACAATAAAACAAAAGCTCATAATCGTCCATGGCATCTTTGTGTGTGACGTGAGGGGTAATCCTCTCAATTTGTTTGTCATTAAAAACTGTTTTTCTGACTGTCGTGCAGGTGCACCATCAGTAGTGGATATATTTAAACACTAGTTTTACAGTTTACACAGTTTTAATACCTCGAATGTGCGAATGCTTCCATAGTTAAGGTTGAGCACCAACCGCCAAGTCAAATTCCTTGTATGTCTAACATTTTTTGGTTATAAATGTTTCCTGATTCCTGATTATAACCCATAGCCTTTACTAACCCATTGCATTGGCATTTCATTTCATTTTATTACTTGTGCACTGCTGTCTTGTTGTCTATTGTTACACTGTCTACTGTCACGCACCAACCGCCAAGTCCTTGTATGTTTGACATATTTTGGCAATAAATGTTTCCTGATTCCTGATTATTACAAATGCATATTATTTTTTGTTTTCTCCTTTTTTTACATTGGTGTTTACTACAAAGTTTTGGAAAGAATCTGAACTCTACAGGCTGAAAATATTTCAGCACACCAAAGGAATGATGAGAAATGTATTAAAGATTTGCCCTCTGAAAATAGGTTTTCGCTAAATGTCACTTTTTGTCACCTTTGCTTTAGTTTTCTCCATGTGTCCATTGCCTACACCACTAATAAAATAAAGTGCAAGTACAGAACACACAATGAATTATCCTATTGCAAAGAGTTTGTTGCATTTTCGGATGAATATTTCTGCCATGAACTCCTGCCTCCTCTTCGCAGTGTAAACTCATCCCTCCTCCCGGATGCGATGCTTTCTGCCCGGCCTGAAAAGTTGTGATGGAATGTCGCCCTCTAGCGGACAACAATGATACGCTGGAGAGGACTGCTGCTCATTTTACAAAACTCTCACGCTAAACTTAAATAGAAGACATTTTCAAGGGGTTGACGGGTAAATAAAAGATAAGCATGAATATCACTTTCAGACGTGTTGGTGTTCTATGCATTGGGGTTTAAATGCGGACTTTTTTAAATATTGTGTTGTAAATGCAATGTGACATCTAGATAAAATGCTTGAAAGATGTGTACACAAACAAGATCATTGTCAGTGAAATGTTCTATATATATTAATTAGATGTATCATTTGTTGCAATATTCTGCATTGTTTTAGCTTTGCATCGACGGAGAAGTCTGTGAAGAGGATCAGAGGAATTCTTAACACTGGATAAATTTATTAATTGTGAGGTGAAATATGTATTGTCTTGAGACATTGAAACAGCAGATCGATTGATATTGATAATTATATCACTCTTATCGCAAAGCATTTTTATAAATTATATAATATAAAATAGAATCCTTACACTTAGAAACACCGCTTTTTATCATTTGAAAAGCGCGCTAAAGTTTGCGAAACAGACGGTTTGTCTCTACCGAGCTGCCGTACTCACGTGCTTTTGTTTACCAAGACAAACAGTGCACCATGCAGCCACTTAGCCTCTCTAACATTATACATATACATGGACTTTAAAGTCATTTAACTAAGAAAGCCGCCAGGCCCGAAGGATTTGATGTTATATTACGTTCTTTAGGAGAAGCTATTATTCCCTTTAGCTCATTTTTGAGCTACCGTTAGCTCAGCCAGCTGCTAGCTTAGCCAGCCGTTAGCTTAGCCAGGCTGCTAGCTTAGCCAGTCTTAGCATAACCAGCCGTCACGAACTCTCCTGGGTCGAACTGTCATCAGCAGCTGCACAAATGACTTGTGTGATTTCGCGGCTTTAATATTTAATAACTAATAACTGTAGTCATGCGTTCCTTGAACTACGTTCAACGCGTCAGTTTGGATTTCACAGGAACTCTGTTTCCTCACGCAATCTGCCTGGGAGATGCGGACAACGACTCTGTGAGTAAAGTTCTGTGTGCAATACATATTTAAAACATTAAATGTTACTTTTTTTTCTTGTCTTGAATGTATTTTTGGGTTGTTGGTAACATCCAATTAATGACCTAATTAGTGACCAGTGGCTTCATTTGTATCAAAAAAAGTCCACATGTTGACCTCTTGCGTCTCATGAGGATGAAACGTTGAAATCACACATGCTTTGCTTTTGTCTTCACACACCGTGATCATCTCCCTCATCCTCCTTCGCCGTATCAAACTGACCCTAAACGTGCTTTCTGCCTCAGTTGAACGAGCTGATCGTGGGCGACACCAACGGGAAGCTGCTGGTGTACAAGAACGACGACTCCAGGCCGTGGGCGGCGAGGAGCTGCGCCGGCATGGTCAGTGGAGCAGAGGCCTCGCCCGTTGCCTCGTTTCTTTCCCTTTCGCTCACTCGCCGATGTGTCTTTTGTCCGGCAGCTGACTTGTGTCGCGGTCGGAGACGTCTGCAACAAAGGGAAGGTGAGTGCTTAAGGCCGCACGGCAGCACAACTCTTTCGGTGATCGCCCCCCTTCATGGTGCCCCCACCTTTTGTTGGACAGAACTTTGTGGTGGCGGTCAGTGCCGAGGGCTGGTTTCACCTCTTCGACTTGACCGCTGCGAGTAAAGCGGATTCGTCCAGTCAGCATGAGTCCACGTGCTCCGATGACCAGAAGCCCTTTTTCACCCAACACATCCCCGCCAACACCAAGGTCATCCTCATCAGTGATATCGGTAATCAGACCCCCCTCCGTCTCCCGTACGCCCTCCTGTGGGTCTGGCTTCCTGAATTTGACACGCCTGTGACTGCAGACGGCGACGGCCGCAGCGAGCTGGTGGTGGGCTACACCGACCGGGTGGTGCGAGCCTTCCGTTGGGAGGAGCCGTCCGACAGGTCGGAGCTCGGATCCGGACAGCTGGTCCTGCTGAAGAAATGGCTTCTGGAGGGGCAGGTACACTCATTGAACCGTGAATCTTGGGGGTGGGGGTTGGTTTTTATTAGAACACATAAATACACGAGCCTCTTATCCGACCACACGCGTCCGTTTAATGCTGATGTGCAGGTGGACAGTCTGTCAGTGAACCCGGGTCCCGAAGGTTTACCCGAGCTGATGGTGTCCCAACCGGGCTGCGGCTACGCCATCCTGCTGTGCTCCTGGACTCAGCAGGACTCCAACAGCTCTGGAGAAGACGGCCCCCCCACCCCTGGGAGGTAGACGCCGTCCCAAACAACAGAAGTTCTAGACGGGTTAGACGCGGGGAGCTGTGATTGGTGATGCGGCGTCTTTTTGTCCCGCCCCCTCCCCCACAGTGAGGCGCCTTCCAGAGATGTAGTTCTCCACCTGACCAGCGGGCGGATTCACAACAAGAATGTTTCCACTCACCTCATCGGCAGCATCAGTAAAGGTCGCTGTTTATTTAACAAACGTTTAGTGGAAATAACTCATGAGTTCTATTTAAAAAAAAAGATCCAACTATATTTTGATTTCTGTTTGTCATCAGGGTCTAAAGAGGAATCTTCTAAATGTGGGCTGTTTGCTCTCTGCACTTTGGACGGTGAGTTAAGTTTCTGTATTTTAGTCCCCTTAAATTGACTTAAATCATTTTAGTTGTGTGTGTAATATATACTGTGTATATATATATATATATATATATCACACACGCAGACAGACACACACCGCTGCTCTGTGTCCTCTGTAGAGGGTCCTCAGCAGATAGCTGGCAAACACTTCTCAGAGCATCGATATTTCCAGAGGATCCAGTGGGATTAGAATCATTAAGGCCGTAAACGGTCCACCTTTCACCCCAACAGGCGCCGCGTGACACCTTGATGAGCCGACACGTTACCGGTTAGAGCCTCGTACCCGAGGAACGGTTCTCATTTCATCCCCGTTTCAGGGATTAGTTGTCAAGGAAACCACCGTGTGGGAGGGCTCTGGGTTCGCAGAGCGGCATTGATTTCCTCGCTGTGTTGGCGTGAACGTGTTTGGACGGAGTTCTTTCTGCGGGGCCCTTTTGTTCACAGCGTTTCTCTCCCCTGAAATGGATATTTAGCTTTTCATTTCAGCAGACTTCTCAAAACCAGGTTTTTTTCCTTTGTTCAATATACAAACGGTTTTAATGTTCTCTTTTCGCCTTGAAATGTTCAGGTACGCTGAAGTTGATGGACAGCTCGGAGCAGCTGCTGTGGTCCGTGCAGGTGGATCATCAGCTGTTTGCGCTGCAGAAGCTGGACGTCACTGTGAGTCAGTTTGTGCTCAAATCAAGAGCTAACTTAGTTTTATTGACATCAAATATAAAACGGATGAAAGCGTCGTTCTTTTCTCTCTCCAGGGAGACGGCCGGGAGGAGGTGGTGGCCTGCGCCTGGGACGGTCAGACCTACATCATCGACCACAATCGCACAGTCGTGCGCTTCCAGTTCGACGAGAACGTCAACGCCTTCTGTGCGGGTGAGCGGCCTCGCCCTCGTCCCCGGGGTGACCCCCTTTTTATTAAACGCCACGGCAGGTTTGAGCGACGTATAAAAGGCTCGAGGCTCCAGCACCCGGAGGCTCCAGCAGGTGGCGGCGTTGGGCTTCGCCTTCCTTTTCAAATCCTTCTCACAAATAGAGCTAATAGGACATTTGGATGAGGAGAGAAGACAAGCGACTTTGATCAATCCTCCATGTTCCTGTGTGTGTGCAGGTCAGTACACGTGTAAGGAGGGTAAGAACAGCCCCTGTCTGGTCTACGTCAGCTTCAATCACAAAATCTACATCTACTGGAAGGTGGAGCTGGAGCGCATGGAGTCCACCAACATGTTGCGGGTCCTGGAGGAGAAACCCGAGTTCAGCCGGCACCTGAGGCTTCTGGGAGTCGGTACGTGCACCAATCAGCAAGCCGAGCTCATTAAGATCCGCGTTCAGCAGTCAGAGCCACTGCTCCTCTGCTGGTCGTTGTAATTCGACACGAGACCGACTGCGACTATTCGCTGTCGGCTCGTGTGCCACTCAGACTGCGACCCGAATGGGACTCGTGCAGGAACACGGATTCTTTCTTACAGGGTGACGTACTGAGATGTAACCAGTTCTCTGATGATTTGTTTTTTCCAGTAATGAACACAATCTTTCTGATTGTGTGATTTATTCTGCATATTTAGTTTGAGTCACACACTCGTGTCAAAGGTAACCAACCCTGCCTACCTTACTTTGATTCAGTGGCTGCATTGCTCACGTTAAGGTTCTTGCCGTTATGATTCAGGGAGCCAGATTCCAAATCCAAGTGTGTGTGTACTAATCTGTAGTCCGTCACTCAACTGCAGAAATAACCAGCATGTTTAGTGGCGCTGTAATCCTCTCTGACTAGTTTCTCTCCCTTGATGTCTTCTGAACAGCTTCTTTCCAACGCAATCCGCCCGACAAACACAACAAACAAATGTTTAACTCTAAGTTAATTATTGTGAAGGCGCATAAGGCTTTTTTTTAATTATTTTTTTAGCTTAATTATTCTGCTGCATTTCAGCCCCCAGTGTGTTTTGTTTTTTAAGAAGCTCCCATTAAATCACAAAGTAGTCTTCTTTCTCTGCATGGATGACCATCTCTTCAGCTGCTGATGTCAGACATTCCCTGTTAAATGAGTGGAAACGTCTTGGGCGACGATGCCAGACGAGCGTTTAATCAGCGGGGCCTTCAGAGGAAAATTACAGGTTGCGGCTGATTTTCCAGAAGCTGCCTGCTGTCAATAATTCAACCTGTTGTCCTCCTTTGACTGAGGTTTTAGAGACCCCCCCCCCCTCCCCCACCAGAGAAGCAGAAAGTCCTCAGAACGTCTGTCTGCCCTCCACAGATACGGACGACCCGGCGGCGGTGAGAGCCATGGTGGCGAATGTTCTCTACAAGGATTCGCAGACATAGAAAACAAAACTCATCAACGCGCCCCCCCCCCCCTCGTCGGGGCCGCCGATAGAGGCGTTGGTGAGATCTTTAAGATGGCCGTCGGTGCTGTTTGTGGGGGGGCAGCACGCCGTGGGGGGGGGCGGGCATCAAAAGCATCGCCCACTGTTCCAGGTGGGAGGATCCTCTAACCACCGATGCACCGAGCCGCTCGTCTCTTCTCTTCCCCCTCATGCAATATAAATCAGCGCGTGTGTGTGAAGGGTAAACGCAGGCTCAGGTGTCCTCTCGTCTCCTCGGTTTCTGCCCTTTAGAAGACGCGTCGGGGGACTTCTTTCGTCCTCCTCGCTCACAGCTCCACGTCACAGAGTTCGTCCCCACAAGCCATAAACACTCGTTTCTGTTCATGACCATCAAAGGTCTCGTCGTCGTCCTTATGGATCCTGGCTGTTACAGATGGATTTACAGTCTGTCTGTGTTGACGTTGACTCTCCCTGGTTTCCAGTGACGCTGTGGGACTGTGACCTTTGCCCCCCCCCGAGCTGGAGCTATTTCAGCCTCATCATTTCTTCTGTTGACCACACTCAGAGCTCCGATCTGCCCTTTTTAGCAGCGTTATTCATCTGGAGGTCGGCCCATGAGAGATCTCGCCTCAGGAGAGTTTGTTGTCATGCAGCTCGGAGCCGTGTATGATTTTTCTTTAGTTCACTTCTCTGAGGAGTTGAAAGGTCATCGGTACCAGAGAAGTATTGCAAGAAAAATGTCACACAGCCCAGAATACTCCGGTTCATATTCTTGGGTTATGCGGGTCGACCCTTCACATGATTAATGGAGTAAAATGTCAAATTAAAAAATATCAATTGAGTATATATTTTATTTATTCGTTTCATTTCACAATTTGTTTTACTTTCTGTCAGGATTCATTTCCATATAGTTTGTTTTGTAATGTAATTTCTCGTGTGACTTTGTTCTAATCATGTGCTTTGTTCGCCGAGGGAAGAATCGCTCAAAACGTTTCTGCTTGTTTCTCTCCTGCGTCACAAAATGATCAGAACCAACTTCAAAAGAGCGTGAGCCACATCTGTCCGTAGCCAGGTGTGGGTTTCTTTTTTTAAACTGAACCACATTGAAGACTAAAAGTCTGCAGCCATGCGAGCAGCTGCACCGACAAAGGTGCTCTGAGCTAAATGCTAACGTGCTAACACCCCCGTGTTCAGCAGGTAGGATGTTTACCGTCTTAATCATCTTAGCTTAGCGCGTTAGCATGCTGACATTTGCTAATTAGCAATAAACACAAAGGTCAGCTGAGGCTACTTTAGGAAACTGAGCTTTTGATGGAAGCTGCAAATGTCGACCTCATGGTAGGAAACATCATTTGGGGATCATGATTTTATATCCACATTTATTTTTGCAATCAAGAATTAAAATATTGGCTTGGCTTTACTAAATGTTTACATCTTGACCTCTTACAATTTCATTAAACATTTACAAAATAAAAAAAACAACAACCAATAAATCAAATGCTAAATAAATGCTTTTTTTATTTACATCAAACACTAAATATCAATGTGATCTGCATGCAGACTGACGGTAAATGTGTGCCTCCGTCGTCATGGTGATTTTAGTGCTTCCCACAGTTCAAATCCGTCATCATACGAGGTGCGTTTGGTTGTCTGCTTTCAACTGCTCCCCACGTGAGGCTTTTTTTTTTTTTGTTTACCTGAAAATGCCAAATGTGATTTTCAGAGGAGCACATGTCTGCTATTATGTTTGATTGCGCAATCCAGTTCGACCCAGTGCAGTGATTCATCCGCTCACAAAGACGCCTTCCACTCAAACGCGTCGTCCGTCTTGAGTACAAAGAATCGCCATCGGCGGGGGCTGTGGCTGAAAACATGAGGACAATCACCTGCAGGCTTTTAAAGAGCATGGATCCAACTGTTTTTTTTTTTAACCTTTTGACCTTCAGAACTGTGCAGCAGTACGTGACAAAAATACCTTTTTAATATATTTTAAATATTTTAATCCACTTTTTACAGCATTACATTGGAGCTGAGGTTACTCATAAAAAGGAGCCTTTAACTTACTCGATTTCAACAAGTTAATGACATGTTGATTCAGGCCGTCCAGCCCCATCTTGGTTTAATTGGGTTTAGTGAAAGGATAGAAGAGCAGCTTTGTTCAGTTAACATTTTACTTTTCATTTGATGAATAAGAGTCATGATCAGTGCGTCAGCCGCAGGGGTTTGACAATACTACAAAGTGCTAACGTGATCCAACATTTAACAAAAACAGATTGTTTTTATCCACCGTTTTGAATGCAGGACTTTAATTACTTTAATGTATTCTTCACTTGTCACCCGATAAAGGCTCAGAGTCACGGATTCGTCGTGGTCACATTTCATTGAAATACATTACTTTGTGCTGCGGAATTGTTCATTTCTCTCCGGCCTTCCTGTCGGTTCACATCAGCATCTCCCTCCTCAGCCTGGTGCTGTGTGTGGGTGTGTGTGTGTGTGTGTGTGTGTGGGGGGGGGGATCTGATCCTGACTGACAGACAGCTGGACCCCCAGCCTCTGAAATATGTGAGCGTGTGTGGGGGGGTGGGGGGGTGTTCGACATGAGCTCCATCACGCTGCATCAACGGCTCCAAGCAGCTGGGGGGACGCTGATTAAAACCGTCCAATTTATCTTAGCTTAGTTGCTGTTATTACGCGCGGCAGCACTGCCTGGGTTTGGGTTTTATGTAATACGCTTTATGGGTGCAGCTGTAATTCTGACCGGTGTTTCCATCTTTGGGCTCGTGGACTGCAACTGGTTTATTCCATTTGAGTATGAAAGCTAGTCAATGCAAGCAATTCTGTTTGAATTTATCTCGCAGCGTTTTCCAGCATGTGGGATTCACCTCGGAGGCCCAATGACGCCACTGGCTTGCTTCTTTTTATACAATGCGACAAAGTGGTAATCGTCCCTTCGGAAACACGAGGCGTGTGTGTGTTAGTTGTCGAGGACGTACATCATGTTTGTTTGGTTATTTTCCTGCCAAATCGGACACGTCGCAGCTCTCGGATCTGTTTTCCGCTCCTAATTACGGCTCGTCGGCTTGGATGCCGTCATAAATGTTAATTACAGTTCAGAGACATTGTGCAGTAATTACATAACTTGCATGTTCTATGTGATTATTTCTGAGCGTGTGCTTTGATGTTCTCCACATTCTTTTTCTTGAGCGTCTCCCACTCACTGCGTTACATAAGGGCCCCCCACCCCCCATAGAGGACCTGGTCTGATCAGAATTCCCCTGGTGTGGCTCTCTGGGCTCCTGAAACCACGGCCTTTATCCCTCTGTAGCTTCATATTATTCATTCCCGCCTGCACATCACTTTACCCTCTTTGCTTGCAGTGTGCGTCCAACGCATCGTCCTGCAGCACCTCGAGTCTTCGAGTGAACGCGTGCAGCGTTTTCTTGTTTCTTCCGGTGTTCGGCTTGTTTCTCAGACGCCGCGGTGCACTTTTCTGCCGCCGACGCGAAGCGCAAAGTGTGTCTCCTGAGAGAATCTGTGACAAATGGTGCTTTCCTGGCAGAGGCGTCACCTGCTGCAGCTCTTGACAGGATGTGGTGCGCGGAGGCGACTCAAAAGCAAGAGGCGGGCGGGCGGGCGGGCGGGCGGGGGGCGGCGTCTGGACGTTGCATCTTCTCTACAAGCTCTCTTGTAATTTAATGCCCCCCCCCCCCCCCCGTGTTCCCCGCACACTGCAAGCAGAAGACAGAAATAAAACAAATCTGTGTCTGAAGAAGGGGCATTAGGTCGTTGATCAGAGTGGGGTCAACAGTCAAAGCCCCCCTCCTCCCCCCCACCGTGAGAACGTCTGCTTTCTCGGTTGTTTGCATGGTAGGAAGTGCCAGTGAAGGGCACGCAGAGCGCAGGGGCGTTTGGCAAGTACTGATCATGGGAATCCACGTGAGGGCCAATAAAAGTGGAGCTTCCTCCCCCCCCGAAAAGGCCCAACAATGATTCACAACGATGAACACGTTGTTTAGCCAGAATACATATTTTTATTAGGCAGATAAAATACTTGTTCAGGGAAACACCAAAAATAAATTTCTGTCACACATGGACTCCTCTCGCACGCCGCTGGAAGGTCACTAGCACGCCAAAGAGGAACAAATCTACGCGTCGATACGTCACGCGGTCCAGGAAAGCAGGGCTCGGGCGTCGTTGAAGCACAGCGCACGTCTGAGGCAGCTCGCCGTCCCCCCGGGCAGGCGCCACCGGGTAGCCGGAGGGAATGACGTGATTGACGGTCCAGCTTCCTGCGTGAAGAGGGGAGGGGGCCTTGGCACAGAGCGCCGCGTCAGCGTCTCGGGGAGGGGGTTCGACTTATTGGCAACTTATTTTTCCCGTGTGAAACACGAGGAATGGAACCAAAAAATATTTAAAAAAAACAACCTGCAATGACCGCTAACGCACACGCAATCCGACTGGTGCACTGACATGCAGACTTGTACGAAGGCAGAACTTTTAATCGGTCATGCAGATGGAATGTTTTTCATGTGGGCCGGGTCAAGTGAGGTCGGACGTCTATTTCATCAACCACTGAAAAGTGAGCTCCTGGCAAAAAAAACGGGGCCACGTCGGTGTGTTCTGATGGGGAAAGAAAGAACCCGTCATTGTCTCAAAGAGGATCCGAACCCAATTGCTGCTCAAGAACAGTTATTTAGTTTGTAGGTTGGACGAGAGGGGGAAGACGCTTCCTCCGATCCACGTTCACAACGAAGCTACGGATAGCAGCGCTTAGCTTAGCATAAAGGCTGGAAAAGAGGTTAGAGGTTAAAGGCCCCTGGTTTTATCATTTAACAAGTTTACCTGTGCTCGTTATTGATGCTAGTAGGGGTTTTTTTACCTTTTGATAGAGCTATGCTAGCTGTTTCCCTCTGTTTCCAGCTATAATGCTACGCTAAGCGGCTCTCCGTCGTCTTCTCACACAGCTTGAAACACCCTCTTGTCATCTACTTGATGATTTAAAGTTTAAACTGCCAAATCACAAAATATGCCACTAAAGCCAACGTTAGAATACCTATAATGGTTTTCCCTTTTCAGGGAGCCGAACGCACGTTATAATCATAGATGATCAGATCTACAGATCTACCGAATTGTGCCCGCTCTGTGAACGAGGCTAATCTAACACAAGGAGATAATCACGGCGAATGTTCTACAAACACATCGATGTAAACTCATCCACGTTCTGGCGGTGTGCGAGAGACACCGTGACCGGACGCCAACGCCGCTTATAGCGACACGACCGCCGCAACCGCCGGGGGATTTTGGGTGGAGTTAAAAGTGGAGTTTTTTTTTCTTCTTTTTTTTTTTTTTCATCTTCACAGGTTCTCGTTGGTGTCGTGTTGGCACTGGCTGGCGGGCGAAGGGTTGAGGAAGGGCAGCTCCTCGCCGAGGCCGCGCAGCTTCAGGACCCGGGTGCTCAGGTCCAGGCAGCACTGTGAGAGGGAACACGGTCAGCGCTTCTCAAGCCGGATGGAAATATTATATTATTATAATGTAGTGGTTTAGCAGCTGTTTTTGCAGCCCGCGTATTAATCGTAGATCTAGACGGTAATCCCTGAATGCCCTCACGTCTCTTAACGTGGTTTCAGAAGAATATTAACTAGAGGGACGCAGTTCAAACCTCAAGGCCATTGAACGGAAAACAATGTGTGTATTTGCCCCCAGATTCAAACACACTCACAAATTGAAATTGTGTAATTGTGCAGACAATCCCAAAACACGACCACCTCCACGCAGAGAAAACGCTGCCTTCAGGTCACCAGTGAATTGTTCCCTTTGGATGAGGGTTAAATTGCATTTTCAGATGTGCAATTTCAAACACTTCCCTGTGACATGACGTCCTGAACCCGTTGTTATGTGGGATTCACCTGCACGGTGGGGACGGCGCAGGCATCTGGGCCACTACACTCACACCACCAGCTTCCCCCCCCTTCAGATAACCCAGCTTACACCACATCTCCTTCTCCGAGGAAATGGCGTTTTCTCGCTCTGCTGCAGTTTTTCTTCCTCTTTTTTCGAGGGGGTTATTTATAAAATCCGTTTCACGCAGCTCGTCCTTTGAAGGACAAACAGCAGAAAAAGAGAAGATGAAGACTCATCAGAGCCAACGAGGAGCTTACTTTGAGTTCCAGCAGGGTCTGAAGGCCCAGGCGCAGCTCGAAGGCCTCGTCCTCTGAAAGCGCAAACAGGGAAAGAAACGGAACGGATAAAGTCGGATTGCGCTCGTTGACGAATCCCCCCCCCCCCCCCCGAACGGCTGCAGGTGTGTTTCTCACCTGTGACGTGGGCCGAGCACTGGACCGTCTGCCCGCCCAGCTGCAGCTGCAGACACGCCACCGAGCCGCCGCCGCCGCCGGGAACCAGTCTGATGAAACGCACACAGTCACACAGCGGCAACGTCTCATCTCGTTTCAGACTGCCGCTCACTCCGAATATAGAATTTCTCATTACGTGTCCGCCTCGAGATTTTCCAATTTAAACGCCGATCAAAAGTTTGTGCAGCCGGGGTTTTATTAACTGGCATTTCGGAGACAAACACGAACACTAGAACCCTGAAGTGGAACAAAATGTCACACGTGGCAGAATAGAACTCTGAAGACTACATTTAAATGTCCTCCCTTAAAGATGAAGGTGACGTCTGGTTCTTTAAGGATGTGGATTAACAGCTTATAATAGTCATTATCTTCCTAAAAGCCTGTTATTTAAGGAAATTCTTTCAAATGCACCTTCTGTGCTGATTCCTTTTCAGTATAAATGGTATCATTTCCTGTTTGGTTCTTTGTCACGATGCTGTGGTGTATTTATACGTGAGGGAGTCTTCTCACCCCAGCCTCTGGCAGCAGGAGCTGGAGATGTGGTTGTGTTGGCTGCCGGTGTTGATGGACGCCTTGACTTCGGTCTCGCGGCACTGAGGGGTAAAAACAGAACGGGGGGGGTCTTGAGTGTCACAGTGTGGTGTTTTTGCTTTCCGCTTCCATCCGGCGCCTGTTTTTAGCTTCAAGTGCTTTTCGTTTGTGAGTCCACTGGTTCTGTGTTGGACTCACTGCTCTTCTGTTAAACGCAGTTAACAAAGTTAAATATAAACCAACGAGGACGTTCTCGGCACGCCGTTGTAGATCATTCATTTTGTTATTCGCTGACTCTGTTTCCCGACAAAATGCATGATTGTCGGGTTTGTCGGGCGCACTTTGATTTTTCAGACTTAATGATTTCAAAAGCATCACCAGGGCGTATAAATATTAACCGAGTGAGACTCATGAGGCCGAGCTTCACGCTCACCATCCTCCTCGGAGAAGCTGTAGCTTCATTTAGCTTATAGACTGGAAGGATAACAAGCCCGGTTCTCTCCCAGCTACAAAAAGAGGCCAAACGGCACCTCCGACGCCCACAAATCAGCACAGTATCGTCTGCTTGTTCGAAACTGACGTGTAGAAACCAAACTTGATTCTGAACGCGAATCCTCTGCAAAAACAAAGAAGCAAATGTACGTCTGCACATCAGATTCCAGCATAATTCAGCGTTCCTACTTCCTGCGTCAGGAGGAAAACCTCCAGCAGCGTCGTCTGCTTGATGCTGCATGTTCTCTTTGGTTCCTGTTCTCATGCAGGAACATGTTCGTGGGTGAAATGGAACATCGGTGGAGTGAAGAATGGGTTTCGTACGGCGGCCCTGCATGCATGTGAGATAAGCAGCGCGCCCACGCTGCTTTCTGTGCAGCACATTATGTATGAATTGGATATTTTCCCAGTATCATGTGCACCGCCGGAACGACCGCAGCTTCGTTGCCCCACGAGGCCGTTTGCTTTTAAACAGAGGCGTCCAAAGTCCAGCATTGGGACACGAGGACCCACCAGGCGTCTCCAAACTGAGGCGTCATGTTCTTTTTATTTAATTCTCCCATTTCTTCACATTCTCACAGCTGGTAGAGTTGATATCATTCCGCCTGCGTTGCCAGTCTTTCTCATCCATTTAGATTTAGCTGAATACTTTTTCACTGCTCTATTTATCTCAGGTTGTCGGATGGTTAACAAGTGGCTCATTTCAGCCTGTGGAATATGCGACTGTGTGTTTATTTAAAGAAACCGTTTAAAGATGTTAAATTGAATTTGACGTCAGATTGAATTTGAAGGTCTTTCTCTCTCCGTCGTCAATCAATATCTCATGCGCTTGACCCGAGGATAACCCCCCCCCCCCCACCTGGAAACAAACACGTTTGGTTTCTATGAGCCTGGTTTTGATCCTTCACCCTCCGTACAGGCCGATCCGAGCCTCCTTTGTCCTCTCAGCTTATCAGCGGACCCACAGACCTTCTCTTTTGTCTCGCGGCGGTGCAGAAATCCTGCGGTTTAAAAATAGCCGCCGAATGAGTAACCCGAGGAACACTTTGCATTTAAAAAGTAGACGATTGAGCCGAGCGAAGCGCAATGAGTAATAGGGGGCAACGCTGAATCCACCTGAAAAGTCTGAAGTTGTTTAATCATAACTGCACTTGCAGAGAAAAGCTGATGTTTGATTATTCTATTGATTTATCCAAAGGATCGGTGTCATACGTGACAGCAATGATCTGTAATGAGAATAATGTGAAACTATTAGACATCTAATGTTGACACTATATATCCACCATCCATCTTTTTCCTTTATTGGATGCAGACAGTTTAATAATTGATCATCTTTACCTCCGTCAGGCACAAACAAACAGAACAAACCTCCTTGGAAAGATTCCCTCTCTTTTTGATTCAGAGCATCTCCAGACTAATTCCACGCCGAAGGAGGTTAATGAATCCCTGTTACCTGTGCAGCCATCTACAGCGTAAGGAGAGTCGGGAGGGACCGTCGAGAGAGTCGGTGCCTCTCTGCTCGGGAGCTGAGGGGGAGTAACCCCCTGCGGAGTGCACTTCCGTAGTGTAATTATTGTTTTCATTTATTAATTGACAGTTCAGATGGAAAAATGCCCGTGAGTCCGAGGAGAGATCTTTTTTTTAAACCCCAAACGTGTTTGTGTGTGTCGCTTTGCAGTGACATCAGAGAAGCAGCAAATACAGTCAGAGACTTTTGCTGTGCGAGTATTCAATCCTCGAAATTAGCATTGAACAGCAGTTTTAAACTGTGTGAACCATAAGAACGTATATATATTTAACATGTTAGCATCTTGGAGTGTCAGATTTTGCACCAATGCTCATGTTTCTCAGACAAATCGTGAGCGCGAATCGCGACTCAATGGCGGCACGATGGTGCAGGTCTCTTCGTTGTCGACCCTCACTGGTTGCAGACGGCGTTTTTTAAAGCAGGACTGAGGGGAACGATTCTAAGCGAGCTGTGATGTGATGCAACCCCCTCATTGATGAGGCGCTGGTGGAAGGAACCCGGGGGAACAAAAGGTCCTCTACCTTTGGCCTGAGCCGCTCTGTTTGCGGTACTTCTGTGTGTTTTTTGGATTATACAACTAAAACACTTGGACGTCTGCAGCGTGTCCCGGATGAAGGCATCGAGTGGAGAGCGGACAGGAACACGTGGGAGCAGTTCCGCCCCCTGTGGCCTGAATGTACCGGGACCCACGAGGAAAAAAGATTTGTTCATTCTCTCGTGGCCACGCATCGGGACTTGCATCGGCTCAGCCAAGGAAACAGAAATGATTCGTTGAATGCAGGTCACGTGGAAGATGAACGATGAACGATGAGCCCTGGTAGCGAGTGGATCAACGATTCGTTCATTTTGACTGGGTCTTCGGATACGGATCTTAGGGTCATTTTTCACGTGACCTGCGCTCAGAAGAGGAAACAGAAAGGATTTGTTTACCTCGGTCACTTTCGCGTGGCTATAGGTTTAGTAAGACGTGAATGATATTCCTTCACAAGTAATAATTACAGGTTTCGTTATTTTAACTTTTTTTGTACTTTAGAGTTCAGCGTATATAATAATAGTTCTAATAGTTGTGCCGTGATAATTGAATGCTAGTGTGAAAATAAATGATCACTTTAAATCATCCAGACTGTCATGATACATTATATTAACGCAAGAATTTATCTTACCACCACGAAATGAACGAATGACTCGAAAATTTGTTCATTTTACTGAACGAGATTCAAAGAACCGAGTCGGTAAAATGATCTGAACTTCCCATCACTAGCAGAGGGAGAATACACAAAGAGGCGAGGGGAGGCCGCCGTACCTTGCACTGAACGAGCAGCGCCGTGAGGGGGGCGGAGCCCTCCGTCTTCTCCGCCGTCCGTCCGGCTCCGGCCTCGCTGTCGTCGTCCTCCTCCTCCTCCTCCTCCTCCTCGTCCGAGCGGAGGCTCTTCTCGCTCTCCTCCAGGGACTCCCTCTCCTCCGCCTCCGAGTCCTCGGCGGTGCTCTCGCTCTTCTCCTCGGCGTCGGCCGCTCCGTCCTTGGGGTCGGCCAGCGGGGAGCGAACCCTGGCGTTGGGGTCCCAGAGGTCCCCCCTCAGCCGCGTGAAGTTCCCCTCCATCAGGCGGCGCTGCACGATGCTGTGAGGTTGCTGCAACATGAAGTTTCATCATTAATTGAAGCAGTTGGAGGATGCTTGTGCGGAAAAAGAGCAAGGATTCATGGTTACACATCATCAGACTTTGCTGCAGTGACCTGAAGCTTTGGAGACGTCCTCCTGGAGTTTGAAAAGTCTAAACAAGTCACACCGTGTCCAGGATGATTAGAGTTTAATTATGAAGAGGACAAATTAAATCTGTGCCCATACAGACAGATAACAGAATAATTAGTTTAATCTGACGACTCTTGTTTCTGTGACGGGAAGAATACTGTTTCGTTTGTTCATGAGGTCTGGAGCAGCAGATAATTGGACCATGAATTACTGGAAGATTCCTGTAACGGAGGAACTTTCTACTTATTTCTCAGCGAGACCTTTTTGTGAGAAACGCTGCTCCTCCTGAGAGGAACGATGTGCGTCGTAGTTTGAATCGGGAAGTTTTCCTACATTCCATCAACTACCATCCAGAAGCCGTCGGGCTGAGAGCATTTTAACTGTGGATTCCTCCTCCTCTTCTTCCTCATCCTCCTCTTCCTCCTCTTCCTCCTCCCCAAAACACACGCTGAGATCTAAATTACTAACTTGAGCTTCAGCGGGGAGGGAGAAATTGCCTTCCTAAGGCGACTGCTTCCAGCTCATCGATGTCAGCAGATATGAAAAGATTTCCAGCATGGTTTCTTTTCATCTTGACAGCCCCCCCCCAAAGAAAACCCAAAGTAGAGTGAATATCAGACTTCCTGTTTATACCTGCACACGCCGCCGTTTACGTAATATTCATTTTCATTCTTACAGTTTCTATGTCTCAATCAGTGAAATCGAATATTTCATATCCACCTGCATATGTGTGTACTTATCGCAGGAGAACGTGGGTTTCATTTCCCCTTCATGCGTTGAGGAGGACATTGTGTTTCATTGAATCTCCTCCACTGGAACAAAGCGTTGTTCGACAACTGGCTGAATAACCGGCTCACCAGCCAACAGCGGCATCGCCGGAGCCATAAAGCCCCCGTTAGAAGTGTCTGCAAAAGGACGTCCCCATCTGTCCACCCTGTGCTTTTCGCTGCTCCTCGCTGAAATCTGCAAACTGCATCCGGCCGCTGGGATCGTTTGGTCTGATTCCCATTAAGATGAAGCTGTGTAGATGAAATAAGGAAAAGATCCTCTTTTGTTTCAACATGCACGGGGCAAAGCTGCTGTTATGCAAATATTCCTGACTAGAATTTGAATGAAGGGTAGAAGAGGAAATACGGAACAACAAACAGGAAAAAGCATCGAGCCCCCAGAGGCCGAGGACACGCGGCTGTAATAGTGTCTTATCAGACATCTCGGAGGTGCGCCCAGGTTTAATGCAACACATCTTCTCACACCGATGCATTCTGGGAAAAGGTCTCTCTCAGTCATCCGGGCTGGAAAGCGTTGTTCCCCCGTGAGATGAGCCTCCTCACGTTGCTCCTCTTCAGACCTCTCTCCTCTCTACACCTCTTCTTCGTCTCCTCACATCGTTCCTCATCTCATCCACTCAGAATTGCCACCGGGAACCAAAAAACGGTACTTCGGGCCTGGCGCCCGAACTGATTCAATCAGCCGCTGGGCTTCAGAGAGGAGCGAGAACACGACGATGCAATAAACCGTCAGGTCAACAATAGTCTGCACGCCGACCTCTTTCCCACCCGAGCACTCGCCGGCTAATTCGCGCGAATCAGCCTCTGATGTAAATGAGAAAATAACAGAGCAGATGTTGTGGACATCTGCTGAGATGTGAGTCAGCAAACGCACGGCGAATAGTGTGGGAGGACACTGTGCGACAGTTGAATGGAGGCAGTTAAGGGACTTAAACACTTGTTGTCTTAACTTGCATCGTAACAGCATCTTGACGTGTTGTTGAAGCGTCCGGCTGCTAATTGTTCGCGGCATGGGGAGGGATTTCTGAAGGATGTCACTTTGCATGTTTATCACTCGCCCCCCCGATTTAAGACGCGTCAGAGATATTATGGCTACCGCCGTTTATCAAGTCCAGCAGATAATTCTCGCCAGGATCATTTTGTTTACGTGAAAGATTTGGATGTAATAATTATTTCCAACAAATCCGATGGACTTGTTTTTCATACAACAAGTAATTTGGGTTTGCATATAAAGCTCCGTTAGGCGGAACGTTCCTCAATCACAGTCTTTTGGTGTATTTTTAATTATTCCTATGACACAAATACAGAGCATCAAATGTGGATTAATCCGCTGTTGAAAATGCTGCCCAACATATGCACTATTTCTATTTATATCAGCCCTTTGAAATATTAACATCTGCTTATTATTAGTCGTTTTTTTAGCCGTACCAGGACGAGGATGCTGGAGGTAAAAGGTCTACATGGTCCGTTGCTGATGTGCTTCCTGTGGTGACCCTCGGAACACTAACCAGTCCAAACCGGTCCTCCAAACAAGTGTTAATGTATGAGGCCAGCATCCCCCTCCTCCTCCTCCCCCACCTCCACCTCCTCCTCCTCCTCTCTTTCTACGTTTCCTTCCCTCTGTATTTATCCCTCTGAGTCAGATTAGAGGCTCATGTGGACTAATTATCTGACTGCAACAGGCAGCTCTCTCTCTCTCTCTCTCTCTCTCTCTCTCTCTCTCTCTCTCTCTCTCTCTCTCTCTCTCTCTCTCTCTCTCTCTCTCTAATGCCCTCTGTCTTATTCGAGAGAGAAGTCCCACAGCCAGCTGACTTCCTGTGCACCAACCAGGTCACTATCTGCCGCCCCCCCCCCCCACACACACACACACTTCTGCTCTTCTCTCTCTCTCTCACCTCACGCCGGGTTTCTTCACTAGATCCTGCATGAAATAGAGTTTTGATCGAAGACAAAAAAGCAATTGCTCAGTGTAATAAAACAGATGTGGCACCAGATCTTTGCTTTGGTCCCATTCGAGGGGGCAACGCTGAATGATCACTCATCTATTTGTATGAGGAATAAAAGCTTCATTCATCAGGGCTGAAGCCTTCAGTTGGTTGATGGTCCATCATGAAGCCTCCTTTTTAGTCGCAACAGAAACACTCCTGTCCCTTTGCTCTCCGTTCGGTGCCCTCTGCTCGGTCGCTGGGGCACTTTTGTTGTTTTTGTTGTTTTCGTGGGGTATTTTTAACCTCCCGTCTTCCCACACAGCGCCGAGGGAGCAGCTGAGGCAGCGTCGCCGCCCTTCCACGGCTCCGGATGACACCGAGAGAGACAGGTTCACCCGGACATCTCCCCTGCCCACCTAATTGCCCCCGATGCTAATAATCAGGCCCGCACCCCATTTGAGCGGCGTTTGTTTTGGAGGGGACGGGAAGAGATCACGCCGAGGGACTTTGTCGTGTTTGCTCTCCGCTTAGAAGTGATACTTTGCCTTCTGTGCAGAATAAACAGCCGAGTTTGTAACGTCGATGCGGATGAGAATGTAAACCGGCTGCAGACCGAGAGGACTGTGCACCAGCTGCTCGTATAGGACAGGAGACGGCATGACGTCTCTCCACGGGTTCATCTACATAAGACGTGTTTTTATTTGGTCCATAATGGATCCAGATGTTTGGTAAACCAGGGTTGTAGTCGGTGCTCATTTGCGCTCTGAGCCCAGTTCTGTAGCTTTTCATCATCCTCAGAAAGCATCTGGAGACGGCAGCCTCTCCGTGAGACAGGCCTTCACACACACACACACACACACACACGCTGTCAGGGGTTTCCGACTCGCTCATCTGTAAGAGACGTGAGCCAACAGACTGCTGAGCTGAGAAGGAAGAGGCTTCAAAAGGTGTTTGAAGCTTCTGACAACCAATATTTCTTTACGCCTTTTTTTTTTTTTTTTTTTTTGTCACCAATTCCGACACGTTGTCAGAATCCACACAACAAACTTCAGCGTCCAAATTGGCTGATATGTCATTTCATGAGGGAATGACTTCAGTGTTTTGCAGACACGTCAAACGTGACCAGCGCTCCTAAAGAGCAGCCTGACAAACAATCAGATGAGAGATAGAAACGATTAACTCATATTTCCTCTTTTTTTATGTGTCTTCCTCATTTTGGCCTTTGTGGGGTAAATGCTGAGTGTGTACAGTGGAGAATATACAGGTTACCAAACATCTCGGTCCGTGTTGAGCTCAGGGCGTATCTGGGCTTCCAATGTTTCCAACCCAATAACCCAGGCACACACACACACACACACACACACACACACACACACACACACACATTGGTATCCTCTTTGTTGGGTGTCACACCCGTGCATCTATACTGGAAGCCCCACGCTGTGTTCCGTGAATCATCCCCAAGTAACCCGTGCATCCTCCATGACCTCATCTCCAGCGTTGGAGCGCTGGGTTTTGCCCTTTGCACCCCCCCCCCCCGCCTCACCCCCCCCACTCTGCAGCACAACACGCGGTGCTGATGCTGCGAGACGACCTCGGGCTAAAGAACAGCTAAACACATTTGCTGTTACATAACGGGCTCTGCTGCTGAGTTACACACTGGGCCGACCAGGTTTCAGCCAGTGTGTGTGTGTGTGTGTCTGTGTGTGTTTGCGTGTGATTGTGTGATTCGGGGGCGGCGCGCCAGTCATTTGGATTCAAAGAAAAGCTGCAACACTTTGGGAATTTCAGCAAATCTCACATTCGAGGAGCTTGAAGCAGGAAACGTTTGGCTTGTTTGTTGGTTTGAACATCACTTGATTGATGATCAAAGCTGTCGTCTTTATGGAGGCGGCGATTCATGGAGTTGAAGTAGAACGTCTACATTTAAAAATGACTCCATTCTGCCCTCTTTACTGTAACAAGGTGACCAATGTTGAACTTTCTCCCCAACGCCCGGAAGGGGGGGAGTCCCTCAATTTCAACCATTGGGCTACTGGTAATAATACAATTGTTTTATAACGATCGTTTATCTTAAAAGTTCGGTCTGTACCTTCCAACACTTTGTTTTGAGGGAAAAAAAATTTTTTTTCAAAAATTTTCAATTTTTAAAAATACTTTAATTTTAAGGTAAAAACTAAGTTTGAGAGCAAAAGCCTGTACCGGTGGTTTTTTTTTTTCAAAAGAGACGGGGAGGGGGTCTTTTCAGTTTCCCCACAGTTTTTAAGGTGAAAGCCCCCCCCCCCCCCCCCCCAGGGCCACAGCTGTAACGCAAATTGTGTTTGAGATAACTACCAAGATGAGCTTCTCCCGGCCTTCAAGGGGGGGAATCGGTTTTATGATAAGTGTCCAGGGCCCTGCAGCCCGAGTCACAGGCTCCTTCAGACGAGCTCCTTCAATCCACCTCAACTCGAATGCCTTTAATTTATAGTTTGAATAGTTTAGATTTGGTTTAACACGGAGCAACCGGAGGTCCCAAAGTTTCCCCAAACCACACTTTTATTAGGTGGAAGGACTAAAAATGGACAATTTGAAGACCCTCTGGGGACCATGAACATTTTCTCCAATCTCTAAAAGTAAAGCTGCTTCAGTCTCAATGCGAATGACGTGTATCTATTATTCCTTTAAACGAAATCTACTAATTGATTTTGGCTCTAGTGGTTTTAAATGATACGCAGCCTCTGGAAGATTAAGTCATCAAGGAGGTAAGAGAGAGGAAACCAATCCGTCATTAGCTCAGAAGAACGTGACTCAGAGGAGCAGGGTGGAATATTTCTTATAGCAGCGACTGTCGGTATCAAAGCCTGGCAGTCGTACGCGCGCGTGACACGGAGCGCCGCCAGCACCGCTCGGCGGCGAGCTTCTTGGCGGGCTCCGGGGGAAGCTGGGGGGCCGCCATGAAAACCGTGTCAGAGGAGCCGCGGAGTGACAAACTGTTCAGAGCATCACGGGGGAGTTCCTCCTGAGTTTACACCGGCTCGAGGCCTCTACAGGAACAGGAAGTGGAGATCATAAAAGACGAGTACAGAATTTAGAACCACGGCTCTTTCGGTTTGAGGCCTGCGCTCCGTTGCATCGCCCCCCGACTCGATGTTTCCCTTCCTCTTTCAGTGCGAGACGCCGGAATGTTTCATGAACCTTTGCACTTTATCACCCACAGCGGGTGAAGCAGTGAGTTCTTAAGTCGGGGGAAATCTAAGTCGTGCGCCTGTTGGGGTGGAGGTGAGCTCAGACCTCTGCAGCCCCGCTGGATGCTACGTTAGCCCCCCACTAGCGTGACTGACTCCACAAATGTTGTCTATGCTGCTATTTGTTAACATCTTCTTGTTACTGATGCAACGGTCCCTGTATATACACACCACCACCACATGAGCACAGTAGAAGGTGTACATGCACATCTGTGCTTCTGCTGCACGTAATTTGATCTTAAAACTCTCCATCACGCGTAGTTCAATGCTGAACGGGTGAAGTCCTCTTTTTCTTTCCGTTTAAACATGACATGCTGCTGGGTGAGCATCCATCTCTCACTCCTCACTCCCTCTCTCTCGTGAATCATGACCCTAGAGGCTCTAGACGTCCACTCACCAGGTCCTTGGAGGTGCCGAGCCTCTTGAGCCCGTCCAGGGGCAGGAGGTCAGCCGAGTCCTTGTGTGAGAACTGGGTGGCCTGCTTCAGACGCCTCTGCTGGTGCAGGACGGCTTTGTCCCGGAGGGCGAGCTCGCCTTTCTTCTTCGCCTCGCTCATGGTCTCTGGGTGCACGGAGACTAAGACCTCTGGGACGCCGGGGGGGGGGGTGTCTCTCTGCAGCGAGACGGCGAGAGACGGATGTCCGTGTGAGGAGACGATGAAGAACCCAGCGGCTTCTCTTTTTTTTCCCCTCTTTCCTTCAAGCTGTTCGTTTAAAGCCACAGAACAAACCTGCCGTGAAATGTCCCCCGCCCCCGTCCCCCGTCCCCCCGTCCCCCACTGCCCTGGGCTCCCTCTCCCTCGGTCCTTCGGCGTGATTTTGTCTCAGCAGCTTAAGAAGCTATTGTCCCGTCCTCTGATGTAAACAAGCATCTTCCTCACAGCGTCTCGATGTGATCTGTCGGTGACGGAGGCTTTGTGGTGAGTGTGGCGTGTTTCCCTCAGCGCTGCCTGTCCTGGGATTTCTCTCTCCCTCTCTCTCTCTCTCCCTCTCTCTCTCTCTCCCTCTCTCTCTCTCTCTCTCTCTCTCTCTCTCTCTCGCTCTCTCCTCCCCCCTCGAGCCCTCTTCTTTCTGTAACAGCTCGACTCTGAATACAGGGCACGTTATATTTTTTTTCTCACTTGACTCCCAGCAGAGGGAACACACAGAAATAGACTGTGTGCATTATGTAAAACGTACGCACTGATACCGATGTACTACTATAATACTATACTACTATAGTACTAATACTACTATACAGTCTCTTACACAATAACTGTGGATTCTCTCATACCACAGTTTGCAGTATAAGTCTCCTGAGCAGTGGAGGTGTGAGACCCCCCCCCCCCACACACACACACACACACACACACACACACACAGGATCAATCACACCGATTGCGATTGATTTCCTCTCTGACTCACCAGTAGCCGGCGCAGTGAATTGGAGAAACACAATTTCAACCATCCATCCAGCTAAAAATATCAAATCCATCTGCGTCTGTGACCTCTGGGTGATGACACGTGTTTCAAACGCAGATGAGTCACCGAGGCTTCAGACGGTTTCTTTTGTGACAGCGTGAACAGCTCGAGTTTTGAAGGTGGATTTTGCTGTAAAATCAGAAGGCCGTTTGTTTATTAAATGCTTCTTATTTGAAGGAGGTTCTTGTTGGACTGGACGCTGTATGTCCAATATTAATAAAAAGTATGTGCCGCCCTCTGCTGGTCGCCTCTTTTGAATCTTTTCTTGGATTACTTTTCAGTAAATGAATCAAAATCAAGTTTTATTCATTCAGTATCTTTTAAACAAATCAAATGCAATTCAAAGTGACGATGTCAACATGAGACCAAAAAGGAGAGAAGGCGAAGACAGTGAACCAAATGAGACGAAATAAATATGAATACAATACAGAAAAATTGGTCTTTTCAAAACAATAAAGAAGTGAAATTAGAGCAAAATAAAATCACAAGCAAAATAAGTACAAAACACTTAGAAATATTAACCATATATTTATAAAACATAAGCAGACAATGTTTTTTTTTAGTTAGTTTAACAATATAAATATTTTCAGATACTTTCAGTCACCGAAGCTCTTTCAATAACTTTAAACTGGAATTTTGTTTTTTCTGAGATGCATCGGTAATCAAATTCTGTCGCACAGAGTTCAGACGTGGTTTTATCTCCGCAGGGGGGCACATGCTGCCTGGGGGTTAAATCGTTCGATCAGCCTGTTTTTTCTGCTTATTTGGACATTTTGAAAAAAAAAAACGGGACAAATGGCAAAAGTGACGCCTGAACATCGTCTTTATGATCTTAAACTGTCAAACAGATAAGTAACGCAAAGAGAATCTGAAATCCGCTGAATCAAACACTGAAAATGCCGCATTTACATAAATCTTTCAAAGGGACATTTTGCCTTGAGGGTCACATGTCTCCACAATCCCGTTTTCTTCAATCCAGGAACCAATTAGTGATGAAAACCCGATCTGCTTCGTACAAATAGTTCAATCGCAGCAGTGTCTTTTTGCATTGTGTGCTTTTATTTCAGCTTGCGTTCTCTAAGGTTGCAGAAGGCACGTCGTTCTTTTATTGAATTGCTCTTTAAGCTCAGTGTGACTCTGGGACAAATAAGCCTGTGCAAAGGATCCACACAACACATTGAGACCCCCCTAAGCCCCTTCTCGTCGCACATCGTCATCCATAAGAGCGGCAGTGTAAAACCAAAGCCAAGGATCATGTTTATCTGCTTCATAAAGACAGGAAATGTTTTTTTTAAGTGAATTTGGAGTGTAAACAGCAGGAATGTTGATATAAAGCATGTTACGGTTACGATGCTGTTGACCGTCCGTGGCGCTTCATCACCTTTCATACTTGCCATTGTAGCGTTTTGCATCCACAGCGGTATGAACAACGCAGTGCGTTCCTCTTTTCTTTTTTTTCTTGTCAAGGAACAAAGGTCACGGGGTCACGTTCCCCCTGGCAACCGGACGCTGCTCCCGCTCACGCCCCATTGTGCAGGCGAGTGCAAGCGAGCCAAACAACAGGTTCTCTCCATCCCACCATCACAGCACGCTGGGGAGGTAGAGCGAGCAGAGCAGCATGTTCTGACCCAGAGCCGGGAAGCGCCTGAAGGCCTCCCAGGCGTCGGAGAAGATGTTGTACTTGAGAAAGACGCGGTGCTCCAGGCTGGTGGGCAGGCTGACGTCCCGGCTCATGATGTACACGCCGTCGTTGTGCAGCGTGCACGTCAGGTTCAGGCCCGACTTGGACGTGTTCTCCTTCAGCTGGACCCACTCGCCCGTGGAGACGTTGTAGGACTGCACCGTCAGCACGTCCTCCGTCTGGCTGGGGCGCCGCTGCCTCTGGCCGAACTCCAGCTCGTGGGTGTAGCCGCCCACCAGGTAGATGGTGTCCTCCACGGAGAGCATCTGCTGCTTGCGGATGTGCGCCGAACAGGTCCGAAACACTGTCCAGGTGTCCGAGGACGGGCAGTAGCGCAGGACGCTCGTGTTCCTGTCTGTCGGACACAAAATATACACTTAAAAAACTCAAAGAAGTAAAACGGAAGACTTGTTTTGAGGGTAAATTTAAAAAAATCCTTCTAATATTGAAACTGTTTGCTGCGAACATACTTTAACAATTAATAAATAACTTTGCCACTGCCAAGAACCTTAAAAATGAACAAGTAGAAGCAACACTGGACGTCGTCCTGATTGATAAGTTGTCATCGACATTGCCTTTAATGTGCAGCAGCTTACATTGTGCTGTAACACTCTGTCTGAATGTGTGACCGCTCACTGACTTGCGTTCACCTCTTGCAGTGTATCCACCCATGACGTAGATCATCCCCTGGCACTCGCAGGCAGAGAACTCGGCCAGCGGGTCGGGCATGGAGGACACGCAGGTCCACCAGTCCTGCTCCGGGCTGTAACACTCCACCGTTCCCAGACTCTGGCCTCCCACGGCGTACATCTTCCCCTGCACCGCCAGCAGCTTGAAGTTGGACCTGAGAGGAGAGGGCGCGGTAAAACACGACGGCACCTTCTGATACCTCGAGAGGAAACGCCGTACCTCTTCTGGTTGAGCGGAGCCACCGGGCTCCACTCGTTCCTGCAGGGATTGTAGCAGTGCACCGCGCTGATCTCCTGGCTGGTCGTCCTGTAGCCACCGACGATGAAGAGGTAGTTATCCAGGACGGCGGAGCCGTATCCTCGGACGTTGATCATGTCTGGGGGCAAGTTGTTTGCCAGCGGTTTCCAGCGCTGCTCCACCTCTCCGTACCTCAGCATGGACCAGTGTTCGTCCTGATCCGGCATTTCCAGAGAGAGACAGGTGAAGTCTCCGATGGCTACCAGGGTGGCGGTGCCTTTCATGCGCATCTCCCTGACTTGCTCTCGGACAGCGGAGAGGAGGCCGCCGAACTCGGGCCTCCTCAGCATGGGATGGTAGTAGCAGCTCATGTATTTCAAGCAAGCGTTACGCAGATCGTGGGTCCCGTAGACCTCAGAGAGGCTGTACAGCTCCACGCAGTTGTCCTGCCAGACCTCCGAGCTGAGGAGCTTGAGGATGGAGGTGACCTGAAGGAAGGAGGCGGTCTCGATCAGGTCCTCCAGGGTCTCGTTGACGACCTGGACCTTGGAGGTGTTGATGAACTCCAGGACGAGCTCCAGGCCGGGGACGCTGAGCCCCTGCAGCTGCACCGAGTCCTCCGTGGACTCCCTCATCCCGGAGCTGTACAGCGCACGGAAGTAGTCGCTCTTCTCGATCAGCTTCTTTTTATTCACCTCGTAGGTTTTGTCATCCATGACGATGGCAATAATCTGCTCAGATGCCATGGCGAAGATCTCCTGCTTTATCTCGGAGTTTTTTTTTTTTTTTGCCTTGCCCCTTGTCTGCCTCCTCGGCGAGTCACTGTTTACATTTCACCGGCGAGGGAGCCCTGTGGCCGGTCTATATATGGTCATGTTCGGCCCATAGATAGCCATGGAGCAACTTTCGTTAGCCGGTGAAGCTAACGAGCTAACGTTATTTACACACAGAGCGGTTGTCGCGGTTACCGGAAAAAACAGCCAGAAGTACATTTTCTTCGGGTTTGCATTCCTGGACAGTCCGATATAAAGTACCCCCGTTATTTTGAGACGGTGGTTAAATGTAAATGTAGTTCACTTTTGACTCTGTCAGTGACCTCCCATCACATTGTATATGACTTTTGCGGGGAGGTGCTGAGCTGTCGAGCTGTCAAATGTTCTGTTTTGATTCTGTATATTGCGTAATTTCCGGTTTCATCACTTCTTCGTGGGTATATTATTGGTAGAGCTGTTGTATGCTGCTGCTGCCGCCTGCTGGTGACTGGACGAATAGTTCGACGTCATAAAACAATGTCATTATTACACATTCAAAACGCCAAACATTCACTGCAGCATGGGACAGAGTAATGTAAAGGAAACATGTACATACACTTAAAGAAATGAAATCAAACTAACATTAAAAAAACCTCATAAAGTACATACAAATATTGATCACATTCCCTCATGTTGACTTTTTACATTTGCTAAAATTGCTAGTGATTTACAGATGTTTTTTACGCCGGTTTTTACATGAATCTAAATTAAATTGATTGAAAAACGTTTCAGACATTGAAATGAGCCTGTATTCTGGGCTAAACTCTCATTATTTATTATGTGTTCTCTGTTTAGGACTACGCTTGTTTTTAAATGTGGATTTTAATACGCTTAAATTAAATTGTTGAGGATGAAGAGATTTTACTCAACCGTGAAAGTCAGAAACTTTATTGTAATTAGTGAGTCTATAGTTGGCTTTACATATTCTTCTGGCTTCTATAAAACACTGCGTGTTCTTGTCTTGCATGTTGATTTGAAAACCTAATCGAACTTGCAGGTCGAGAGAGTTCTGAACTCAGAGGCATAATCACAGGGAATCGTCTTGTAGAAATGTCCTTTAAAAAAATGATATCATTAAATGACCTAAGATGAAACAAATCTTTACCACTAAAATTACTTTAATTCTAACGTGAAATGAATGATAATAACTTACATAACGGGAAGCATCACACGTAAGTTTAGAAGCATTGTAATACAGATCAATATATTTTATGGCGAAAGTGGATTTACAGAATATTGTCTTGCAGAATGTTAGTGTTAACCTGAGTTGTCACATCCTGGCGTCACTGTCTGAGAGAGATGTGAAGAAACCAATAATTCACCAGGCTAAGACGGATGATGGAACGTTCAGAATAAAAGCAGCTCTGATATATAAAATATAAAATAAATACTCTGATGTACAAAAAAAAGGGTGCTTCTAAGATTCTATTTGACAGCCTTACTTGTGTCAATTCATTTGATGAAACCTTTATAAAAAAACAGCATACAGTTTTTTTTCCTTTTTGGTAACGTCATGGTCCAATATGTAGTATTGTGCAGAAATGCTTTATTGTATTGAAAATCATGATCGTGTATCCATTCAATTTAATGAAAATGTGTATACAAATATAATAATTATGACTCACAATGACAAAACATGAAAATAATCTTAATTCTCACGCTCACTATTTCCATGGGCCGCAGTTGGTTTTATTTTGACAGTCCGTACAGGAAGCACTGACGGTGGTGGGTGGGTGGCTGAGTGAGAGACGCGCAGGCGGGCGCATCGATGACGGGCAAACCGACACACAAACACCCGCCGCTCGGCCCGTTTCCATGTTCCCGGCTCCAGTCAGCGGACCGCCGGCTGCTAGTGACCCGAGTTGAGGATGCGGGAGCAGGCGTGGGCCTCCCGGTTCCCCCGGTGCCTGGTGCTCATCATCACGGCTCTCGCGTCGTGCTGGTCCGCCGACCCGCGGCCGTGCCAAGAGGTGAGTTAAACCCAACAGAGGCCAAACCCTGCTTATTTTTGGTGTTAGTTTATTTCAATATTATCATCTATGAATTACTAGTTTGTCCCATGTTTTATTCCTCTGATCGAATAAAATAACGGTATAATAATAATAATCGTATATTTAAAAGGCTTCCCCCAAATGCACAATAACAATGATCTCACTAAGTCGTTTTCCATTTTGATTAAAAATGATGACTCGAGCGTAATAAGAATATTGTGAGAGCAGCTGATCGGCACAGAAATGCGGTTCATGTTGATAAACACTGTCCTTTCGGAGAGGACGCGTCCTCCCTCCTCTCCTCCCCCCCTCTCCCCGGACCACCATCCCCCGCTGGCGCGGAGAGAGAACCGGGGCCGGAGCGGCTCTTGTGGTCCATCTTTTTCATGGAGCTTTCATGGAGGATGAGAAACGACATTTAAAAAAAAAAAGAAACATCCACATCTTTACACAATTTGTGAAATCATAAATTTAAATTTTCACATTTTAAACACAATTGATGTACAATTTTTTTTCTGTTGGATGTCAGAAATCATTGTTTCATCATTATTTTTCTTTCAATAATAAGCTGAAGCCAGAAACTTGTTAGCTTAGCATAAAGCTCCCGACATAGAAAGTCTGGAGTAAAACCTCCCATAATCAAGCATTACATTAAAATGTCCTATTTTGTATATTTAATCCTAATATGCAAAATAACCAAATCTATCAATCAGGTGAAGTATCAGTATTGTCACGACTAAACTAATTCAAATGTACCGAACAAACGATAAAAATAAACAAAACAATATGTTGTACATATGCACAGTACATGATGATCTAATCTCTAACTATCTAAAGTATTTCTTTGCCTTATACAACATCTGGATGTTTATTTTTAGGAGACGCTTTTGCCCTCAAACATCCTTCCATCCTTTTTCTTGTTGTTCACATCAAACCCCCCAAACCTCCGGTCCTGTAACCTCCCGACTGAGAGGATGCCGTAGAATTCTATCCCTTGCTTCTTCTCATCTGTCTCCGTGGTAACCGGGGGTGAGTCACCCGAGAGACTAAGCGAAACCCATCAGCTCCCCCCCCCCCCCCGACCTTTGAACCCATGAGGACCTGTTGTTTGTCCACTGGGCAGCTCCATGTTAAAGGAGGACTCGTCCTCTCACATCCACAGCGTGGCTTTGTTTGCCTGTCGGGGGGCGGGGGGGGGGGGTGTAGAGAGGGGGGCGGTTGCAGCTGTGCAGGTGATTCGTCTTTTACAACAGCTCAGGCTTATCTGTGCTGCAAACCTTATCCCCCCCCACACACACACACACACACAACGCAGTCCGTCTGTGATTGATCCGAGGTGATTGGCTCCGCGCGCTCCGCTGACTCGTCTGTCCAGTTGGGCAGCAGGTTCAGGGGGGAGTGCCAGGGGGAGGCTTTGGGCAAAGGGGGGAGTCGTATATTTTTCCTCCCTGGTTTAATTTTATAACCGTGCTGACTTTATTTCAAAATCATGATCTCATGATTAAATATAACGACGGGTTGAACTAGAATAAAGAAATGTTCAAAGACCGTTTGAGGAAAGGGCTTCATACGCTGTAAGCAGGTCAGTAACCTTTTAATCTAATTCACTAGATTTAAGGATAATTAAAACGCATTCCCGGTTGTCATCTTTAGCTCTTGTTTCTATGGCGATTGAAAGCAACTCATTAAAATGCTTTGGACAAAATGTTCCTCGACATGAATTTTCAATCAGTTCAGTCATCGAGCATTGATGTCACAGCCAACAGTCCTTGGAAAGAGCAGAAAACTACCGTAGTGCTCCTAATGGACCATCCGGGTACACGCGGGTTGGTTGCCGTGGTAATCCAGGTCAGCCGCCACTTTTGCCCTCAAATCCACAGGTCTAATCCTTGTGTTAAATACTTGGCAAAGGCCTGGCGAAGGATCAGAATGGGTCGTGTCACTTTAAACCTGCTACCCATTTCTAAAAAAAAAGGTGCACATATAAAAATATGTGCACCAAATGTAAACGCAATCCATTCAATAGTGAAGATGGCGTGTTGATCTTTGTGTACCTGCGGTCTGCAGACCGACTACTACTACCAGTACACAGAGTGTGACAGCACGGGGTCACGATGGAGGGTCGCCATCCCGCTCAGCCCGAGTTCCTGCTCAGACCTTCCACCTCCAGCCAGAGGAACGGACTGCTGTAAGTACCGTGTGCGTGTGCGTGTGTGTGCGTGTGCACACGTCAACATGTCCTCAATGTCTGTCCCCGCCCGTCCCCGCAGCTTTCTCCTGCCCGGCCGGGATGTTTTTGGAGATGGGCACCCAGCAGTGCACGCCGTGCGCCGCCGGCTCCTATTCGCTGGGCAGCGGCCTGCGCTTCGACCAATGGGACGCCGTCCCCGCGGGCTTCACCAGCCTGGCCAGCTTCTTGGACCCCGGGCCGAACGGGGAGGACGTCCAGGCGTGTAACAGGTGGCGTTGGCCCTCACGAGCGCCGCCGTTCAGCCATCGATCCTTTGAGCTGCTGTGGATGAGTGTCCTGTCTGTTGTTCTCCTCTCAGCTCGTCGTGGACGCCGCAGGGCGTTTATCTGGAGTCGAACCGCGACGAGTGCACGGTGTCGTTGGTTTACGCCGTCCACCTGGAGAAAAAGGGCTCGGTCTCCTTCACCTACCAGTACCCCGACAACAACATCTTCTTTGAGTTCTACGTAAGAGCCTCTAAACTGAAGCTAATATTGCCGACATAGAAACTACGACTAAGATCCTGGATCTTTATGATCCGACTGGATCACGGTGGAGGTCTGTTTTTGGGCTAAAAGCGAACGTGTGGACATGCGTGCAGGTGCAGAACGAGCAGTGTCAGGAGATGGCTCAGACGGACGACCAGAAGTGGATCAGAGTCACCAACACCGGAGAATGGGACACGCACACAGTGAGTCTCTGACTCCGCCGGTGTTGGTGGGATAAAGTGTTATGTCGCCTGTGCGCTTCACCTCGTGCGCGTCGGCTCGGTTTTTTTCAGGTGAACCTGAAGTCCGGCACGAACATCCTTTACTGGAGAACCACCGGCATCTTGGTGGGGGGGAAGATGGTGAAACCGGTGCTGCTCAAGAACATCCAAATAGAGGGTAGAGGAAGAACTCCAAAATACTCGACGATGTTATTTAGTGGAGATGAATTCAAAGATATAAACTGCCCTGCAGGATTATTACACTCGGTGTGTGTGTGTGTGTGTGTGTGTGTGTGTGTGTGTGTGTGTGTCCAGGTGTCGCCTACACATCGGAGTGCTTCCTGTGTCGGCCCGGCTGGTTCAGCCCGGCCCCCGGCTCCTCGTCCTGTCAGCCGTGTCCCACCAACACCTTCTCCAGCAAGGGG